TCTATCAGCAGTTCTGAAGGCAGGAGAACAAGTTGAGTGAAGAGTACAAGCTATTTATTTAACCTTCCCATTTATACAAACCCATGTGAAATTTACAGCAGAAACCTTGAAGTTGGTAAAGTGATTGGAGACACATCTGAAACAAGTCCAGCTCCCAACCAGGTCACCAGAAATCGAGATTACTCAACATTTAGCTACAGGTACTCAGTATACATCAAGCCTGAGTACTGGACACAGGTGAAATTCTCATTTAGGGTCCTCCAAAATCTGTATACCTTCTTCTGTGTCTCATTAATGATCTGCATTCCTCTTGCTTCTTTGCATCTAGACATCACTACCAGGAAATAACTATGTACAGAAAATTAACGCATAGTATACACTTTAATTCTGTATAAAAATCAATGGTCTTCTAAACAAAAGCTGAAAACAGAACATATTCTGCTCTTAAAGCACAAACCAATATGGGGGAATATGCAAAGTCAGGAAGTAGATCCAAGTTCTCTTTGTTGCCATTGTAAACAAGAAGGGAATACCTGCAAGTGCTATCGTTCTCATTAGTCTATCTTAAAAAGGCCCTACACATACGATCACCAACATTAGGTGCATGAAGGTTTTGAAACAAGGGTTTGCTATCCTCTGGCATCCTTTATGCTACCTAGAACAAGCAGGGATCTGAGCTGATGATAGCAGGCTTCTGAGATTGCAGAAATTCCTGGCTTCCAATACATCACGTTGCACACCTCTTTCTTTTGTGCACTTAGGCTAAATACATAAAGATTGAAGTATACTCTTCAACATTTTGGTATTAGACATGGATCAACTAGAAAAAAAGATACATTTATCTTGCTGAAGCATTACTATTTCGTTGCTCATTTTAAAGAAATTATCGTCATTAAAAGAAACATGAATTAACTTGCCAGGCAGATGTTATTCCGGTGTCTCTTCTGTGAGGTCCGGATGGAATAAATCATCTCTCTAAAAATTTCCATTTTCTCTTAAGACCGAAAGCCTTATATATTACTATTTATAGAAATCTTATGATCTTTTGAAATAAAAAAAAACAATTTTTTTTTTCCCCCCATTAGACAAAAAGCAACAGTGGCTACTTTTTCATGAAAGGTTCAGTGTATGCAGTACTATGCATTAGAACACTGACACTTCTAAAGGAAGAACCAGCCTCTGACCCTATTTTGATGTGCCAACATAATGTTAGTGCTTGCATTTTAAAATATTTATTTCCTTCATAGATATTTTATGTGTAGATCTCAGTCCCTATGCAGTAAATATTCTTATTTTCACATTAGCAGAAGCCAGGACTAACATGATGCTCTAATATGAAAGACCTTCCTTCTTGGAAATCAGATTGTTTTCTGTCTTAAGCTCAGAATCAAAGGCATAAAATCATGTGTGCATTTGGTGATGGACAGACGCAAAATCTTAAACATGCAAATGCTTCACTGAGATGCTGAATAAGAATTTTTTTTTTTTAATGGGGGAAATATAATTTGTTTTGAATGCTTATAGTTTTTAAACTATAATTTACATCACTTTCCAGCGTAACTCAATTTTTTATGTATATTAAAACAAAACTCTGTAGTTTTGTTTTCCTTTTTTTTTTTTTTTTTTTTTTTTAAGTATAGACAACTACTAACAGAAAGTCAAGAAACTGACCTAGTGAAGTCCTACCCCTTCCCCCATTATCAAATAATCATATTTTCAGATGAGAGCCTCTCCCTCAAACCACTAAGTACATTTCTGAATGCTGCCAGCCCTGAAGCCAAGAGTTCTGCCCAAAGTCTGCTAACCACCAGCTGGTAAGTGGCATCACAGTGGAGCTGCCATTTTTTATGTAATACTTTGTGCACAATTAAAATCAATACTATCTGACAGGATGAATCTTTACCAAGAAAAACACTGTCTTCTGGCAAAAACTGCTTTTCATAACACAAGTCAAGTTTACCCCCAAGAAACGTACACACTTTTGTTCCTTAATGGTCAATATATTCCAGTAGCATGTCCTTTTGATCATACTTTGTGTCAGCTAACTACTAACCTTGTCCTTCACACCTTTTCTTTTCCTTTTTTTCTTCTCTTTCCTCTCACTCTCTATTGGCAAAGCTCCCCCAAAACACTGACGTTTATTATCAAAATAAATAAATAAAGAACTTTAGATCTCAGCTTCTTCAACCACCACTTCAACTTTTATTTTTCCTACTTCCACTGAATGCCAGTTTAAAACTACTGAATACATGACGAACATACAGGAACATACAAACTGTTTAGCAATTTATTTGGGAGTGAACATAAGCAATTATGAGCTGATCAGATTGTTTCCAAGAAAATTAAGAAATTTGTCTCCTTTCTCTGTGAAATTTAATATTGTAAGACATATTCTTCCACTTGTTCATAAGTCAGTGATGTTCCTCACTTCTGTCTCTCATCCTTGCCACATATTGTATTTTACCTTAACATCATACAAGTCAGTATTAAGTTACTAGTTTAAGTGACTTCCTACTGAACTTTAAGGAACTTATCATACACATCTATATGTTATATTTATATAAAATGGCTACACCCAAGATAACACACCTCCAGAGAAATACCCAACTCAGATAAAGGAATACATAAAAGCACAATCTTTATGAATTTTCCTCTAGAGGATGCGAAAAATATCAAACTTAACTTTACCTGTTTTCATTTGGGCTTTTGGAACCTGGGGAGACGGAAAAGTGTTCCCAGGAATTGTTTCTTTGCTTGACTTGCTTGTTCCATCAAATAGGCAGTTACTTTTTTTTCCCCACATGTGCATAATGGAGAAGATTATCAATTCCCAGCTTTGCAGCAAAACAAATTCAGAACTCGTTCACACACTTTTAGATTTCACTTTATACTTTCTACATAAATCTGTTGAAACAAACCCCTGCCTAAAAGGCTAAAAGAAATGTTATTAAGTACCACGTGGAAAAAAGTCTAGCAATTTCAAAGACATAATATGGAGAGAGTAGCCGGGATAAAATGAAAGAATTAAAAAAACAGAGATCCTTCTGGGACCCTTAAAGTTTTATGAGAATAGCCTTAGTGAAAGATCTTTGAATGTGTAAATGTAAATTAATTGAAGAAATTGAATCTTTACCTGCATAAATTTGTAACATTTAACAATTAAAATCTAGTTAAACATTAATGATCCAAAATTTAAAACGTGCCCCCTATTAACAGGGATGAAACCTTCTTCAGTAATCAATATTAATGAATGGAAAACGTTCAGGTAACAAAGCCTAGTGCATTACTAGCTATTGGGAAACAGGAGTTTTTGATAAAGTTTTTTATAATCACAGATGACTCCCCCTTCTGTTACGCATCTTGTGTAAAGGAAAGTCCACGAAGGATGATTTAAAGAAGGAGGACTACGAATTCTGTATGCACTCTGGAAGGTCATTCATCATGAGGGATTATTACCATACACAGACTAACAGCATGGTATCAACAGATGACCAAGGAGCTCTTAAGAAGCTAAAGAATAGTATTTGAAGAGAACCACTTATCACTACTTAATATATGCCTCTTGTACACGTGTCAGTGGCAAACTCACCACAGCCAAAATTGCTAGTCAGTAATCTGAAAATGAACCTCCAAAGCAATTATAAGGTGTGTTACACTGTATTCTGTAGTTGTATCCTGTATTTGAATTCATATTTTCATACAACTGTTAGCAATCTTCTAAAATACACAGACATCTTCAGACATCTTTCTATTGAATAATATTTTTCTGTTTATATATATATATATATATATACACAGACACATATACATACTCTACATACTTTTTTTTTTTTTTTTCCCAGTAGCTTTTAAACTTTACGTATGGTCTCTTTTTACTTTCCATGTGCAATTGGTTTATTTCCCTCCTACACTTTCATACCTCAGGAGGGATGTGACCTCAACATTTTTAGTTCCAGGTAAATCCACACAAAATTAAGACTTGATCTTGAAGTACTCTTCATTCTGACACCTCTGAGAATCATTGCACTTATTAATAGATCCCTTTTCAAGCCTCGACTCCCATCCTTAGCAGTAGAGGAAGAAGATGGGTACAGAAGAAAGCAAATTCAAGCAAAGAGTAATGCAAGTCTGTTACTGATGGATTTTCCATCCTGGGAGCCAGCATGTAAACTGCAAAACCACTGTAGAATATCCAAAATCAATCTCAAACCTGGGGTCTAGCAGGGCTTCTAAACATTACCGTAGACATTACTGAACTGAAGGAAAGGTGGTTAAGATGGATATACAAACAACCCTAAATCACTCAGCATGAAGATGCTTGCCTTTTCTATCATAATTTCCATCAAGTGTATCATCAAGACTTTGAGATGACCTGAAAAAAGTGACAGGGTACCACTGAGCCAGCACTGTCTCAGGATTTATAGCGTTGCTGTACCACCAGAGGGCACACACACATGTAACTGAGAACACCTAACTGGGATGAATGAAATCGAAGTAGTTCTTTGTCTCTCCTTAGCCTAGAGAAGGAATAATGCAAACAACCAACTCTGAAATAAAAACATGCTGGGAGTAGTATTTGGGTCTTAAAGTCATAGCAATCATGCAGAGAAATGTTAAGTCACTTCTACTAAATGGCATATACCAGGCGAGCCTTAGCCTTCATGTATGGTGCCCCAAAGGACTGAAGATTTGGCCTAAACACACCATATCGAAAAGCCTTCAAAAATCCCATGGAACTTTCTTTTACAGACCCTGTGTCCTGTCCAACATCCAGCTTGAGTTAGGCTGCCCAGCAGCAAGTTCCTCTGTAATTTTACTACATCAGTTTTCTTCCTTCTGCCTTATCTACACAAGGAAGGTGTGGGCTGGCACGTGTGATGCGATGCATTCTTTGTCAGGTGGCACAGGGATATGGGATCATTCAACACAGAGTCTGTCAGTCACTTTCCTTTTGAATAGTGTCTCTATATGCAGCAGACATTTGACTCTTACCGTGCCATTAAGGACCATGTAAAATATTTTGTCTTCATATAATCATTTTCATGAAGTGATTAACTTAAAATTTAGTAACTGACCACATAAGGCAACCACAGAATCCATTTAATGTGAAATCCTCTCACTGACGACGTATCAGATATGAAACTGCTAATTACTGATACTACACTTGATCTTAGCCAAAAGGCCAAGAAGCAATTAGCCAAATAAAGCACCTATGAGCATTAGTACACCTCCATACCTTACAAATCATTAACGTTTTTAATACTTCATCCTCCCAGAAAAGCAAAGAAATGTACCGAAAGGCAATCTGCAGTTGCTAATACTTAATAATAGCTGCTAGCTTAACAATAGGCTGGCTTGGTGACAGAAATATCTTCACAGGAGAGAAGTTTTCCAGTCATTATGAAACTATTGATTTCTGACAGTCTGGCACTAAAATGAAATTACAGTCACTGTATGCAAAGAAGCTTTCTAAGTATTAACACAAAGGTCTATATACCTCTTCAGTGGCCTATATATAAGGAGAAGTCTTGCTGGCACAGCTCCAAAAATTAACTTCTCCATAAATTTTCTATGGTAGTCCAGCCAAAATACAACCTCAGTTTAGGAAAGATACTTGGAGTCCTTTGCATATGCACTGATCCCGTGACACCAGAACTCTGCCTAGCAGAGGGACCATAAACATCTTCCTTCTCTTCCCATGGCAGCTAAATAAACGCTGATCTGACTTCAGTTCTACCTTCTATATTTAATGGTGCACACAACTGAATGAAGATAAAATTTTCTGTCTGGAGATGCTAGACATCTACTTAATTGGAAAATAATCATTACAAAAAAACACTTATGACAATTCCTACATTTTACTTTGCAAAAAACACAGGTTGTTACAACCAGAGTAGAAACAAAAAACCATTCAACTGAGGAAGAAAACCAAACTGATTTATGTGAACACAGCGATGTTTTTCTAAAGGTTAGATGCCAAAGCATGAAGAACTACACAGTTTTGGTTTCCATCCTCAAGGCTGGAATTAAGAAAGGCATAAAGGAGAGCGAACAGCATGATCAAAGATAAGGAAAGGACTTCTTCTGAAGAATGATTAAATGCAGTAAGACTGCTTAGCATAAAAAAGTTATCACAGTAAGGAGACACAATGGAACTTGATAAAATCATGACTGAATGAAAAAAGTTACTAAGGGAATTACTTTTCACTATTTCCTAATATAAAAAACAAATGAGCAAGAGGAAATAGATTTTTTTTAAATACAGAATTGTTTGTAAGTATTAAAAGCCAACACAAGTCAAAAATGATTGTGTAATTTTACTGAGAAAAATACCTGTGCAGAACCATTAAATGCAAAAATATGATCTTTGCAGCACAAATTAGCCCCCAGTCACTGAAGCTGGATCAATACCCAGAGAGAGAATCACTATATGCTTCTCTTAAGCTCAGTTTCTTCTTTTGGTACCTGCTGTTGCCCAGCCCTGTCCAACACTGAGCTGGGAAGGTCTTTGGTCTGAGCTGGCATAGTGCTGCTCGCCATGGGGAAGGAGAGCAGCAGAAGGGAGTTTTATAGCTACACTTCAACACCCTTTTTCTCCCCCCTTCATTGTTCTTACTGACAGACACGTTCTTCCTCACATTATTGTATTAAAACAACGAACAGAGACAGTATTGAAACCACAAGCGTGGATGCTACTTACAAATTATTCCTGACTTGCACGAACGTGGTGTTGCGGAGTACAGGTACTTTGTATTCACGACGCACATGCACTGATAGTCGCTGAACAGGGGACCACTGGGAGCAACTCTGGGCACTAATGAGCTGCAGCCGAGGTGTAAAGATGCAGAATTGTTCCTAGGCAAATGTGTACTGTGGAAGGAAGTTTGTACAAGGAAATAGGCTGCTTTCCTGAAGGGGGAAGGAAGGCAAAGTCCCTAACTTGCAATTTTTACAGAGGAAATAATCCCAAAACAGGTGTCTGGCTCAACAAAATCTCTCCTTCTTGACCTGCTGCCTTCCCTCCTCTCTACCACAAGAAAGACTTATTTATAATAATTTATGTGTTATTCTACAGAACATTATCAGCCTTGCTGAAGCCTTTCTTAAATTACACATGCACACGCTTAAGTTATGAAACTATACTTGCCAATAGTTACAAAAACTTTGATATGAAAAAAAAAAAAGTATCAGGCAAGAAAACATGAGTTTAAAGAACCTAAAATAGCTCTCAGGCTTGTAACTGTTCATAAGAATGAATTTTTATTCAGGAAAAAAAAAGATAAATGCTGTCCTTTTAATTATCAACATTTATCTCTGGGACAAGACCATCAGGTATATAATATAGAAGATTCTTTTAATATAGAGGACAGATGGCAACTGCACTCCTGGGACTTACTTAGACTGCCCCAGAAAAAAGAAAAAAAAAAAAAAGACAACACTAAAAAATCCTATAATTTTAAAAGGCTTTGAGAATTCCCCAAGGACTGCAAGTCTGGATACAAGAAAGCTGGACTGCCTGGTTTGCAAAGCAAATGATAAAGCATTCAGGAATGTCCAGGAACTCTTCAGGACTGCAATGCACAAAATTAACTTGAAGAATACGCTTCCTTGCAATCTACAGTGGCAGCATCATACGCAGCAGACTTTCTTTTTCGAAACTAAATTATGTCAGAAGAATTTTTGATGATGTCACATGTAAATCCAGCACTGGCAGATAAGAACATTTGGGAAAGATGTAATTGGCTTGTTTTGCAAAATAAAAATATTTCAGCGAAACCAAGGTAATCCTTTAAAAATAATTCTACAAAGCACTTCAACTTGTCTTAAATCACACACGCATCTCTATGTGCACGTGGCATTTCATAGGCATGTTTCATACTTCACTTACAGGGTGTTAATATCATAAGCTGCGAATCAACACTTTTTTCTCGAGTGTTAATACCATTAACGTCCTGCTGGGTAAACAGCCAGAACCAAGCCGGTGTGCTCAACTGCCTCTGACAATGGTGAGCCTTCCTCCTCTTGGTCTGCAGCACAGTAAAACCTTTTGCTTTTTTAAATATTAATTTTCTCATGGAAAGACCAAAAGTGTAAATAAAAGAAGAGTTTAATAGTGGTCTAGTAAAACTCGAAGAGATACTTCATGCAATAGCATTAATTAAATATTCTGCAATTGCAGAGTAATGTGATTATTACTGAGGGCTTACATGTCTGTAAAAAAAAAAAATAAAGGCTGGAATCTAGTTGACTAAACTGTGCTCATCTCCATTGTTGATGCTTTGGGCCACAAATGAAAATTTCCATCTCAGTTTTCTTTACATTGGCTTAAAAAGCACGAAACAATAAAATGTGTAATTTTTTTCTCAAGCCTTTAAACGTAAAGAATGAAATAACGCAAATATTTTTCCTCCCTCAATTTAGACCAAAGTTTCCAAACCGCAGTATTTTATATTACGCTGATGCACCCTTTAAATAATTAAACCGTTCGGCTCCATCCCTAAGTTAAAAAACATATAGAGCAAGCACAGCCATCAATACAGGATTTGCCCCTCTCTGAATTAATCCAATTATTCAAATGTCAGTTATAACTGTCAGAGAGCAGTTCCTTGGGCTGGACCAAACTGTTAAAAATTAAAACTGTTTTACCTCGTTTAGTCTCTCTGCCTTTTTAATGTAAAATCCATGGTCTTGACAAAAAGTTGTGGGATTTGACACCCAATGCAACACAACCCTATTTCTGTCATACATGCATAATTCACTTTGGAAATTTGCACTTGCTTTAAAATATTACTAAAATATACATGTAACATATGCTAATTCAGCCGCACTGCCTTGTAAGCTCCAGCCACTAGGTTATATGTAAACTTTGCCAAGTGCATACACTGTACATAAAGGGATTATAAATGAAAGAAAAGATCACTGTCCCTAGCTCTCAGTTTCCAGCCTTGGCCAAACTGACAGCCCCAAATCCCAGCAACATCTAACATGCCCTTCCTGTGGAGAAGACAGCCTGTTCTCAGAGTCTTAATTACATCCCAGCTGACTGCCCAGCGTTGCCAAAATCAGGCAACAAACGATGCACCTTCACTTGCAATATGGTCTGCTAAACAGACTCCCAGTCACACAGAAAGAAACTTTCACAACAAGGAGAAATAAAGGGACAAGCTAGCGAGGGAGGGAGAGGGCAAGCAGCAATCAAGACAAGGAAAAAACCTCTTCCCGGGCTCCTTGGGGACCGGCGAGCAGCAGCATGTAACAAACAAGGCTATCCCTCGCTCAAAACAACCTCGCAGCCCAAGGTGCCTCACGCCAAGGACTGCTGTTCTCCAAGATGGGCCACTGGAACCAAGACTCGATAGATTAATGATTGTTAAGGAAGGCTAACCAACCCCACACTGCTCAGGCCATTATAATTACAGAAGAACAGCATGCCACATTCTGCAATCGCAAATGGTATCATATGTTTTCCTGGCTGCCTTGCAGGAGGAGCTTTATTTACACAGATGAAATGCGAGAAGTGCAGATTTAAAGCAACAGCATTATTTTAAAACGAGAATGAGCAGAATTGCACGCCTTCACGGATACCCAGACCTGTCAGAGAGCTGCTCCAGCCTGCAGGCCGACGGCCACCGACGTGCCTGTGAGGGCAGAACTCCCCTGTCCTAGCCGAGGCTGAGGGCTACGCTCACAGCATTTACAGCAGCCCCTTAAGGAAACAAATTCAACTTTACCCAAGTGCTGATAAAGCACAGAATTTTCCTAGGACTGCAGGGCTTCTTTAGGGTCCGCGAAATGAAACATCACTCTCGCTAGAAGTGCTAAGGAAATTAGAGGTTATTTGCTATTGATTCACAGAACAGAAATATCAACATTATGGCAATTAGCTCCCACAAGATGGCCTGCATACTTTCACTAAAGTTTATGATATGCAAACATATCATTTATGATATGCTACCTCCTAGAAATAGTAGGTGTGCACTGATATTCAGGTTTTAGCTAACATCATTCCCAGAACAGCTTCCAACAGTTACAATGTTCTGAGTTACTCTAAGTCACCCAGGTATCTTATTTCTCAATAAAGTTAGCTAGTTCTACCTCCCAGTCACATGCCATTTTTAGATTTATATCCTTCTTAAATACATTTGATATAAAAATGATACTTGTATTAAAACAGGTATCTCCCCCACCAGTTTA